ATATACTTCGATATTCTTCATTAAATTATACATATTTTATGAAATTGTTGCACTTAGAGAAAATATGAAGAAAATCAAACATACGCGATTTATAATTATTCATATAATTTTACAGCAACTTATAAACTTTTCAAAGAGATTGCACGAGCTGGTTAACGAGAATTGGAGAAATAGGTGAAATAAAGTGGCGTACAGAATATAGGATTTTGACACGATTGAACTTTTAATTACTGTTCTTCAGTAAACATGCGTGCGTTACGCGAGCCCGTGGCTGTCGCGGGCTAGTCACTTAATTCGAAGGATTAGATAAAAGAACTCTTCCCAAAGTTAAAAGGAAACTTAGTTTAAATGAAATTTCTCGCTGCATGAATTCGTTTGTAACAAGATTCCCGTAAACTGTCCCATCTCGGAGACCGCTACGAGATAATTCATTCTGTTTTCCATTAACTTCGTGTCGTACTTCCAAATACGGTTTATCAAATAGACGCTTCGTCTACAAGTTAAACAAACAGTCATTCACTTCGTCACTCGTGCGCCGGTGTCTCGTACCGAGCAATAAATTCGACAGGAAACGAACGGCCGGCGTTTTATTGCCGAGGAAATTCATTTACAAGTAGAACAAGGCTCAGGAATCCGTTCGGGACGCGTTCTTAAGAACCCGAGGGAATCTTTCGGGAACTCCCACACGCACCCATTCCGATAGTGTCACGAAAAAAATACACTCTTCCGAGTCAGTGACACGCACGGATAAAGGGGTGCTCCCAAAAAGAGTTTCTTATCACGGTGACACGAACGAGACACGGCCGTGTAACACTTTTTATTGGCCCCGTGGTGGTAAGCCGCCGGCAGTGAGACGCTTCTTTCTCCGATTCTGTCTCTCTCTCTCTCTCTCTCTCTCACACTCTCTCACTCTTTCTCTCTCTTTCTCCCCCTCTCTCTCTTTTGGTTTTCTCGAGACGACAACGAAGAATACAAAAAAACAATGAAAAGAAAAGCAACGGAGAAGAAGGAAGGATAAAAAAAGGGGGGCAGAGAAACGAAGAAAAAAGATGAGGGCTCCCCGTGTTCGTGGTTTTCAGCATGTGCTAAGAACGGACGGGCTTGAAGCACGAGGCGCCAGATATCCAGTAATTTGTCTTTCAACGAATCACTTTGGATGACGACGCGGAGCCAGGATTTTCGTGGAGCGTATAAATTACAATATTCCTGGACGAGAACGATAGCCACCGTTGTTGCTTCCGTCCTTCGACGGTTTCTCCTTCGTATTGCGAGAGCGACCGTTTTGCTACTCGTTCGGATTGTTTAACCACTTGTGATGCAAAGCACGTGGCCACGTACGACGACATGGTTTTGTTTCAATTGCACTTTTTAATCCATAACTGCGGACGTGTATAACAGACTCTACTGTAAATATTATTTATTTGGCACAAGCCGTGAACATACGTTACAGTCAGGAAATAATTCTCTTCAATTGCAAGCTTGTCAATAATAATAAATGGAAATTAATCTTTACTACACGATAAACGATGAAAACAAAGTTACTTATTATTTGCTTTTCAGTTAAATTCGAAGAAAAAATAACATGTTATTTGCAAAACTAATTTACAAAATATCCACTGTATAATGTACAACAGACGAAAGAGAAGCAAAAATTATTTATTATTTATCTTTCTCTAACATTCAAATAAATAATATTTTATTTACAAATAAGAAATAAATTATTCGTGGAATTATTGAAATCACTTTTTAATTAAATAATATTTTATAAGTATTATTGGTAAATGAAATATTAATTTAATTTCTAATTTATTATTTATTGTTTAATTTTTTTATTACTATTTTCCCAACATGTGCAATATGTGTTATAATAAATTTCTATGTAAAAATTAATACTATATTCATTTTATAAACAATATATTTTAGTGAGTAGTTGTCACAAATTCGAATGTCCGCAGTTCATGGTTAATATACAAAAAAAAGCAAGATATACTCGTTCCAAAAGTTTCAATTAGTTGTGGCAGAACGAATATGCAATTTCTGATTATAGAAAACGTGGAAGTATGCTTTCTGGTAACAAGCAAAGCAATGAGGACATTTTCCCAGGAATATTCCATCCACAGAGCTAAACAAATCCACGAAGAAGGTGTATAGTGTGTTCAAAACACGAAGAATGCAGTGAAACTGCGTGTAATGCAAGGAATGCCTTGTTGCGCTACATATTTCAGACTGTTCTGAAATATACCATACTGTCTTCTCGTTTCAAGTGACGCCTCACGGCGAGTTACAGTGTAGTATGTGGCACGTGCAACGTGCTACTGTGAATCAGTCACCAACACATGTTGTTCATATACTCGGAAACGGAGTATAAATATTGTTATTTGACTATCTAGCTTTTTGGAAATTAATTTAAACTTTCACATGTTTTGTTAACCTCCCTTTGTACCACAGAATTTGCTATATATATATATATATAATTCTATATATAATTCTATATATAATTCTATATACAATAATTCTATATATAATTCTATATATAATTCTATATATAATTCTATATATAATTCTATATATAATTCTATATATATAATTCTACGACCTATGTATTCAGAACAGTTGAAGAATATTCCACCATGCAATTCATAAACGTGAGTCAACAATGTAATATATAAACTGGCTGAATATTTCTTAACGAATGTTACACACGAATAATAAATATTAGATTATTTCCATTAACTAGTAACAATATGAAAAATGTTGTGTACAAAGCAGCTTCGTATTCTGAAGCAAACAATTTTGGTGTGGGTCGGTATTATTAAAAATATCACAGACAATCAAGATGAGCATATATTGATAGCTATTATAGCTATTGATTAGTAGCATATACAAATGATCATTTCGTCTAACATTTCACTTGGTCTTCCTATACAATTTGACGTTAAATAACGTGTGTTTAGGAAAAAGAAGAACATGAATCCAATTCTTTCGTAACTAACGAAGATAAATCACCGTCAAGTTATTGCTTCTGCGGACGTGTGGACTAGCGTCGATCAGTGAGCGAGTACTGGTGTGATTTATTGGCGAATAAAATGGAACATGGCATACTAGAAGTGGAAAGTTAAAAGAGGTACTGAGCAATAATTACTGGATAATTCTGTATGATTAACTTAATAGCTTTCCTAATTGAAATTTTCCTAAAGAGCAGGTTTATATCCATATTATTTGAAAGGTATTCATGTGTGTGTGTGTCGCACACGACTAATACAGGGGTGTAGTGTTTCACCTCCTATCGGAAGAGAACAAGTTTTACTTTCAATTCTATTTCAATCGTTATTATGTGAAAGGGGCCTAATCGATAAATACAATCGATTCGAAACCTTTCAGCATGTTACGTAAATCGTTTAATTTGGCAATAACACTTACAATTTAATGGACAATGAACAGTGAGTTTCAGTCCGTTTCACCTCCAGATTAGACATCCATTTTTCTTTTCTTGCGAAGCAAGTGTACATCGCGTAGCGCAAGCTATACAGTATATTCTCTCTAATTGACGCTCGGATTGTACACAAAAATGAACGATTTTGAAAGAGGAAATAGAATTATTCGAGCCTTGTAGCTCGTTTTTATAGCTGTTGACAATCGGTAACTATAAAAAACAATCGCAAAATTTAGTAATCATGTCTATCACGATATGAGATATATTTCCTTCCAAAAAATACTTATTAGAATGACAATTGTCATGAACAATTATATATCAATGCAATTACACAATAATAATATGTCATTAATTTCGATGTATCCGTAATTTAAAAATAATAAGATTAAATTGTTTGGAAGAACGTGAGAATGTGGACTAGCCGATTACATATTATTGTCGTCCGAGATTTATATTTATCTTGAATTTATTAAATTTCTGTATAATGGAAGATTCAATGAATATTCAGTACTTGCATAAAAAACTTGAAATTAACATATATTCAGAACGGCAGAAAATATTCTGAGATCTTAATAATATAAATTTAAAAAATTAAGAAACTTAATACAAAATGAATAATAAATATACTATTTATAAAATTAACAATAATATAAAGAATATCTATCCATAACTAAGAATATACAATACAGTCTGACAAAAAAATGTTCCAAAAAAAAGTTGATCAAAATCGCCTTCACTTCTTTTTTAATTGCATGGCAAACGTTTTGCTTCATATTTTTTTATGTCAAGGTCATTCGGAGATCATGGTATAACAGGTCGTTAAATACGACTCAACACGAGCTCCAATAATATGAAATAAAAAATGTACCATGCAATTTTAAAAAAGTGAAGGTGATCTTGATTTTTTGGAACAAAACATTTTTTCTGCAATTTGTTACATTGCAATCTATAGCAGATCAAAAACTGATTAACTTTTGTTTTGAACATTTTTTCGTTAGGCTGTTGGAAGTGCTCGAAAAATCGTGGGGTTGCAGAAATACGATACCAAAGTTTATTCGCCTATTTCGGGGACACTCTGTATATGAATTAGTAACCAAAATCTTTGTCCACACTGTGCGTCGTCGTGAAACAAGAAATATTGTAACGAAATCCGACGTGTCCTCTACGGATTTAACGAACAAAGGATTGAATGAAGTGCGTACATCAATATATGTATTGAGTTCAAATCCAAAAACGGCAAACACATCGCTAATTGAATGTGTTCAACGTGACTAATTATTCCCGAGTTACGAGACGCTCGCACGCGGACGAAAAAATTCTATAGAAAATTCGATGACGTATTCGCTTTTAAGAAGTGTGTCCTTTGAATCCAACTTCAAAGAGGCCGCTTTACGGTCACTCATTTTTTCCATTCGCCGGTGTACACCACACGCTCGAACGATTGTACATTAATTTGATCTACGAGGTCGGCAATGAAGTTCAAGTCGAATCAGAGGTGACCTAGAAGTATCTCGGGGAAGAATCGTGAGCGAATGTTGCGACGTTAACGCTGTAAGCTTACCGTTAAAGATATCAATAGCACGAAGATGAGAGTTCGGTCCATTTTGGAGAACGTTGGCATCCTGCTTCTTCAAAGTATAGTCATCGTCGTCCGCGACTTCAACAGTTCTCTTCCACGCAATCAACTACTTCGTGGACCGTTCGCGAAATGCACATCGTTCTTTTCGAACTCGGACAATCGTTTTTTCCACTGCACCACGATTTGAAATTCTATTTCAGTCCCTTCCACTGTCATCGAAATCACCATTCCACATTTCACTCACACCTTTTTCTTCGTTTCTTGCCTCGCAGCGCCGTCCATATCCCGAATTTCAAGGCACTCGTCTTTTCTAAATAAAATTCAGACTTCGGCGAGCCGATATTTTCGAGTCATTACGTTTTTTGTACATTAATTTCGATTTTTATCCATTTTAAATATTCCCTTTCACGAACGATACTAATTTTACTGTGACTGCAATTTCAATTTCTTTGCTAGATTAGTCGACCATTTCAAAGTTGTGGCAATCATCTTTGTTTGCTATTATGCCACTTTTGTTGATACGTTTTCAAACAGAATGACTTTTCAAAAATTAAATCAGATAACGTAAATTTTTTAAAAACCAAATAGTTTACTAGACATAAATTGTAATTGGTTGGAACAGTAAAGAACTTGAAAAGTGATTTTTTTCAATTTTTTTAACCGAGTCTATTATCGCTAAAATTTAAACAACGCGTTTTTTAGATGCCGAAATCTTCATCGAAATCGGTTAACATTCCTATGAGCTACAAATAATTGACATTCGGTTTGTGGAGCACTAAAACTAGCTATTTTATAAAGGTAATGATAATATATATTNCTTAATTCATAAGTTTGATTCAATTACATCGTAATTCGTAGTCTCAACGCGATTACATCGTAATTTATAATTAATATAATTTAATTACTTGGTATTTCGCAATTGTGTTCCAATTGCAATTGCTAAAATTACATTGTAATTTAATTGAATAAAGATCCGAATTACGAATCACAATGTCATCGAATTATAATTTAATCGAATTACTTTGGAGTTATAATTCGTTGAGTAATTCAATTGTAATTCTGCAAAACTCTNTATGAGCTACAAATAATTGACATTCGGTTTGTGGAGCACTAAAACTAGCTATTTTATAAAGGTAATGATAATATATATATATATATTATCATTATATTCGGTTTTTTAACCATTTTTATTGTATTATTTGTTCCACGTTACAAATTTATTGAACAAGCTCCTGATGAACGTATCTTTACAATTGTTAGCCAAACATTTCAAAAATATTCGGCTCAATTTTGAAAAAGTTATTCCATTTGAAAGGGTGTCATCGTATTTTCCACGGCGACTATACATTACGTTGAGTATTTTGATTGAGAATAAATTGGAATAAATTGTCAGATACATCAAAATGTTATACAAAAAAAGATTATGAAAGATGAGTGTTAAGTATAACAAGATTGTTAAAGAACACAATTTGAAGAAAAGAAGCTGCATTACCCACAGCTCAAGTAATAAAACAAGGACGAACAGAAAAAAAACATAAAAAATCAATATTTGCTTTATAAAATTTTGCAAATATACATTGAAAATATTAAGAAGTGGATATAAAAGTACCCAAATTAATAAAACATCTATTCACATACGCGGCTAAATTAATTCAATCCCAGACAAGTCAGAGTCAAAATAAATTTTAGGCAACTGGCTCCAAATATAAATAAGCTACTTCAGCAATGGGTTGGGGCTAAAAAATGTGCAAGGTATGAGAACAAGATGATTGTAAAAATACTCTTATTTGCTGGAGCAGTTTTGGCAGTTTCTATCTATTAATTTGCTCCGCTGACTTTTTCATTTATCCTTGTTCGAATTCGCAGTCCAAGGAGCACACTTCCACGAACAAGGGGTGGGAGGACAGCTGTCTTTCACTAAAATTGGTCAATGAAACCAGGGTGCCGACAAGAGTGATCGATATGTTTAGCTGAAATTACAGGCTACTTTCAACGAAATAAGTGCGAGCAGCGAGCGCCGCGCCGGTTACCGAAGAGATTAGCCAATGCCTGTCTCGATGGGAAATGTTGCTCATGGGGTAACTAGTGACATATTGTTTCCTGCAATACTCGATGAAAAATCGCCGGGTGATTAATGATGGTATGTGTAAATCAAATAGCGAGGGCATACGCGTGATTTGAATACCAGCCTCGCTGTTTCGTCCACGGATCTTTCTGTTACCGTGATCACCGTTCAGACATATAATTTCAGTATTCGTGTTATGTATACATATGTAGTTAGGTGAATCATCGTGAACACTGTACAATAGCGACGCATACCGGAACTGTTATATTGCAAGAAAAATAATATGGTTTTAAGGAGCAAACATAGGCACAGATTTATTACCTAATTACACTGCCTTCGATCCAAAAATGTTGAGTTGAGCGACCGATGTGATAAAGAGATAGCGAATTTGACATGCTTATGGCATCTTCTGATATACTGAACATACTGAAACGATACGTTCTCAAACAGTAGAATTCCATATGTGCTGGAACGTGCTCATTCTTCGATTAAAATTATACAAGTTTTTGAATGTCTCTTTAAATTGTTGGATAATCTTTAAACGAACGAATGTATGATATAAACAAATTAAATCAACAAATCTCTAATCTTTTCCTGTATATTTTAGGAACTAAATGTAATAAATGAATTCCTAAGGTATTAATATATAATTAATATAAATATATACAATATTTATAATACGTATTTTAGAACAATATTTTTCTAATCTCTAAATATGAATATAATTTGTGTATATATATATATATATGTTATTTATGTGCAAATATACATTTATATCTACAGAATAAAATATTTACATTTTGAACATGTGTGTGTGTGTGTGTGTGTGTGTGTGTGTGTGTGTGTGTGTGTGTGTGTGTATGATGTAATAAAGTACTGCATCGGGTAACACGAGAACAGAAAGACTTTTTACAAAATGTTTTAGAAACCCATTAATTTAGTTTCGCTTAGGAATGCACTTGGATGCGAAAATACACCATGGGCTTTGGATAATATTTTCAATGCCCCTCAAGGCAGGTGACGTATCGTCCACTATTTTTAAGTCTTGTCCTCATTTTTGTGAACGAAGCTGCACGCTGCACTATCAGCGATCTACGTCTTTCTTTCCAATTATTCAAGATCTTGTTTCGCTTAAGGATAATCCCGAGTTTGAAAATGTGATAAATGAATTCCTAAGGCATTAATGTCTTTCATCGGTGTTTATTTAGTTCGACTGAATAAACTATCACAATGTTATACTGAAACATTATTTTATAAAATTCAAGTAGCCTGCGCCAGTACATAAAACAAAAGTATTTTTATAAATCGTAAAAACGCATTTAAATAATTTTAAAAGTTAAGAATGTCGACGTATCACTTTCATCTTATTAAAATGATTAATGAAGGAACGAAATTTAAAATAAATAAATAATTCGCTGTCTAGTTGTCGTATCTTAAAAATAGTACTTTATAAGTGTGAATGCAAGATTATTCTTATTAGTTAAAGTATGTGAAAGTGAGATTATTTTTATTGGTTTTCGGTGTAGTACACGATTATTATAAATTGCATGATTGAATTCAATTATCTGTGACATTCGTGTTAATGTTTTAATTTTGTATTTAATATTATCAATAAAATATCATCATCAACATATAACCCATATAATACTAAAGAATACATTTACATAATTATAATTAATTTAATTAGAACATTTGAAACGAAAATGTGTTTTTGCTGTACAAATCTTTCGATTATGCAGAGGAAGATTTTTTGTAATTTACGCCTTGCCTGAACGGAAAGCAGAACAAGATTAGCTCCTTTGTTGAACGTGTTAACACAATGGCGTATCGATTCTAATAACTTTGAATTTTGAACGAGTGATCAAAATGAAAATAGTTAACATCGTGAGAAACTGCTTCATAATACGACAAGGAGGAAATTAGATATTATTGAAGCGATCGAGGCTGGTGTATGTATACGCACTCACATAATGCTTTCATGCTCCAGTTGTTAGTGAGTGTTACACGAGGATCGATATTAGCCGTGCGTCGACCTGTTGAACGTAATCGCTCCTGCATGGAATTATTCGCTGAAAGACCGGCGAAGAACGTTTCCTTCGCTCCTCGTCCACGCATTCCGCGACCGTTTTAATTTGAGATTACGCGTTCGTTGAAAGTTCTGCTTGAAATCGTAGCTAATGATTTTCTTCGTCGGCGCCGTGCCGGTCGGTGGTTCCACTAGATCGATCTCAATTACGAATGTTCCCCTATCTACCGTTTTAATCTATTGTTTATATGCTACGTTTTACGCGGTGTCTTGCGGTACAACACCAATCGAATAAATTACGAGGCTACTTTGCTGTTGAACGATGCGTGTTTTATGACATTGCAATAATGCAATTCTCTACGCATTAAACAGGCAGTAACGACTTTCATATACTAAACTAATCTCAATTTAAAAATTAATTGAGACAATAACGGAATTTACGAGCAATTTTTCTTTATTTGTACATATTTTCTGTATTTATTTTCTGTACAATACTAACATGTCTATTGTTTACTGATCAAATTTATCGTTAAGATAATTTATAGTTACATTAATTTATGGTAACTCTATAATTTATTTCATTTTTCTGTTTAACATTTTCGCATACATAGATGACATTTTAATATATAAGTCAAATTTTTCTAAATCACTCAATGACTACTTATGGCATGTACAGATTTTAAAAATGCAAGAACACGTATGGATTAACAAGATCTGATAACGTTTTTATTCTCTTCTTACAATAAGTAATCTTTTATTTGACGAAGGAAACTTTTCTTTAATTTCAATTTTCGTAAAGTGACGTATAAAAATGTGAATTTTCGAGGATATTTAAAATGTAATCACGATGAACATAATAAGGCTATTTTATTTTATCAGATTCAGGAAATATTATAAAAGTTTTATATTGAATAACAGCCAATCTTCTTCTCAAAGTACATGTACACATAGCAATCATATATTTACAATGTAATCACGATGAACGTAATAAGGCTACTTTATTTTATCAGATTCAGGAAATATTATAAAAGTTCTATATTGAATAGCAGCCGATCTTGTTCTCAAAGTACATGTACACAATTATATATTTCAGTTTCTAGCAAACGTTTCCCATTTTTATATACTTTCATTATAAAATGGAACAGTAACGTGTAATTACATAATATCGGCTGGAATTAATTGNCTTCTCAAAGTACATGTACACATATCAATCATATATTTCAGTTTCTAGCAAACGTTTCCCATTTTTATATACTTTCATTACAAAATGGAACAGTAACGTGTAATTACATAATATCGTCTGGAACTAATTGCTCAAACAAACAAACAAACTTCAGTCAA